CACCACCATAACACTAAACCATGTCCCACACTGCCCCATCTCCATGTTTCTTGAGCACCTCCAGAAACAGTGACTCTACCACACCCCTGGGCTGCCTGTTTCAGCCTGCCTTCCTATCACAAAGACAAAATTGCCAGGAAACCTTCTCATTTAGATGGAACTGTGCCAGGCATTTGCACACTCCACCCTGGAAGTCATGGGACAGGGGACAAGACAGCCAACACTCTTGCTCCTTACATTGATCATAGCAGCCTCCAAGCACTCTTTAACATCCATTTTGCTCATTTGTCAGAAGAACAGAAGTCCCAACTCAGAAATCAATGCTGGATTGCTCAGTTTCCATAGATTAGTGGTGATCTTTTTCTCTGCATTAAAGAATGCACCGCTCTGTGTTAGCAAGCTCCAGCAACGTGCAATGGTGTAATTGACTGAAGAAACGGGTGGCTATCTGGATGTATGGCTTATTTATGGCTTAATCCTGCCCCAGCCCTCTGAGGTTTGTTTGCAGCTGGGGTGTCATGACACATTTGCACTGCTCCTTTGAAGGTCTGGCGCTCAGAAGGTCATGTACACCCAATGATGTTGTGTTGTGAGATCCTCACACTGAAAGCCTGCTGTCAGCTGATGCCTCGTGGGGTTAATGCCACCACTTATGCAAAACTGTGCATTTTATTCTTGTAAATATTACCTGCTATACTAATAGTTGCAATGTATGAAGATCCAATGAGAAATTTGTCCTAGAGATTGACAGCTCTGCTTTCATTTTGAGAAAACAAGGTTTGCAAAAAAATGCCTAATAGAGGGGAATATGTGGGGTTAAGAAGGGAGGAATTGCCTGTACTTATTAAGGATCAGGATCTTTGTGGTGAGAAATGTGCAGGAAAGGGAAAGGAAGAAAAAGGAAAATGGGAGAACTCCCAGAATCAAGGATGTAGGGCAAAGCAGTGTGGAAGTAAGAACCACAGACCAAACAATGTGAATAAGAGCAAAAGGAGAGAAAGAGAAAACTGAAGGCAGCAACTGTCATATGATGTGTTGATACCATGCCACAATTTGTTTGTATACTGTGCTGGCAGAAATCGTACTGAAAGAATGATCTGAAAGGTCAGGACTGGGGCAGATAAAGCAAGTTTGGGAAGTATCTTAACTGTGCTTTATCACTTCAGCTTCTCCCAGATCCAGCCACATCTGTATCCAATTAAGAACAAGTGTAGCTCTGTCTGGAGGTCTCAGGTGTTTCCCAGTAATGGTAGGACAGATCAATAATAAAAATGGAACTGCATATGTTTGGGGGAGCTCAGCAGCATCTCAAGAATATTAAATAAGAGCTGCTATTGCTTTAATAGCTCCTGCTTGAAAAAATTGATTTCTGACTATGGAATACAACAACAGAGAAACAGGAGAGATTGCTGCATGGAGCAGACCTTCCCCTCTCTTTTAGAAGCTATTACAGCTGTGGGCAAGAGAAACAAGGGGCAGAGCATCCCTTAGCAATGGCTGGCATCAGATATCTTTGTATGGATTTAGGCTTCCATTAAAAGCCAATAAGATGTGCTCTGCCATTAAATCCAAAGAGGTAAAATCTCACCTATGTCACAAGCTTTCAGATGTATTTCTGAGACTGAAGAGTGTATTTGAAACAGATGGGAGATAAAAATAATTCAGAGAAAAACTTTGTGAGAGTTGGATATGTGCAACAAATTGCTTGGAATACAGTTATCTCTTTGTATTTATTTGGTTCACCTGTTCAGTGTGTAACTCCTATGCAGATCAAACAGCCTTTGTTGGAAGAAAATATTCTGTTTCCATCTCAATTTCACCGACTCCTCCTGCCACAAATATGTTGTGTGGTTCCTCTGCCAGGCCTTTACTGGTGGGTATCGCTCAATCTGAGAAGTTGTTCAGATTCATGTCTCTTCATGTCACTCCCAAATACCTTTACACATCAAGAAATTGAATTAAAGTTTTCCTTGCCTGTGTTCTTGTCCAAGAAAGTCTGTCCCAATTAATGAATTGTGTTCAGTGTTTTGCTGTAGAAGATCATCTCTTTTTCATGAGGAATGGCAGTGAAGATGAACATTCACTGCAGAGCTTGGGTTAGACAACCTGTATAGGGCTTTGAGGATCCTGGAGACAGGAGGAGGCCTTGCAGTTGTTCCACTGTTCTACTTTTGTGGGCATCAGAGGGAGCAGCAGAAAGGCCAGAAGATTTCATGGAAGGTGAAGCTGGTGATGCTGGGTGGACTTAGATCTGAAGGAGAATTCCATCATTGGAGCAGTGCATGATTGAAGGGTGGGTGGAAACCAGCTGGATGTAAGCACTTCAAACTGGAGAAATTTGGGCTCAAAAAGTGTAGGTCAGGATATTGTGGAGAAAGTAGGTGGGGAATGATCATTTCATGGTGTAGAGGAGAAGAGGTACAAAATGAAAATGTCCATCATCAGATCTAAATAAGGAAATAGGGTATGTTGTCATTCAACATACAAAGAAATGGTAGGGCTTATAGGCCAGGAAGATGCAAGTGAAATCCAAGATTAAGGATTACCTCGTTACATCATATTTGCCTGCTTGAGGATTTGTTTGTTTGTGTATTTATTTTCAGGTTTCTGCACTGTTATTTCGGGCTTGTAGCATAGAATTTTTACAATTAGTTTGCTGTTGGTTCATTAGGTAAACCTCAGAGTAAGAGCTAAGCTTTTTCCAAGCTTTATCCTAGAATCATAGAATCACTAAGGTCGGAAAAGACCTCCAAGATCATCTAGTCCATATTTCCCCACTAAACCACGTCCCTTAGTGCAACATCTGTGCCTTTCTTGAACTCCTCCAGGGATGGTGTCTTCACCACTCCCTGGGCAGCCATTCCAGCGACTGACCACTCTTTCAGAGAAGAAATTATTCCTAATATCCAACATTTATGTTCATCTTCAGTATAGGAAGTGATCATCCTCATTTCACACAGTGATTAGAAATGCTTGCTCTGTCATTTGAGCCAAGATTTTAGTGTGGTAAAATCTGTATCTTCTAACCTTGCATTTCTGCACCTCCCAGGCATCTAGCACAGAATCTGAGAACTATGAACATTTGTTTTATCAGATTTGTTATGTTCGAATCTTGCATCAAATAGTGATATGAGCTGCGAAGAGTGGTAGAAGACTTATCAGAGAAATTCCCTGAAGTCAGGAAGTTGGTTGATTGATTGGTTAGCTGGTTGGTTTGTTTTTCGTTGCCATGAGGATGTACCAGTTAGTTCTCCTCTACCATCGGTTGAAGCATTAAGACAGCTTTGAAAACTGTTGTGAGCAGTGAGAAGAACAGCGAAAGAGTCGAACAGTTAAGGGGAACTGCACTTTAGAAGTACAAGAAATATGAGGAAATGAATTGAGCTGAAACTGGCCCTCTTAGCTTGCTGACAATGAGAAGCTAAGATAAAAACCACCATGAAAACCAAAGGCATCCCCAAACAGAAGGAGGGAGTCATGAGCAGGAAATAAGAAGCAGAAAAAGATCAAATAAAGGGATCCATTGTAAAGAAGAAGAAATAACAGAAATTACATAACATCTTAGAACATAAACAACAAAAACTGAACAGTCGTGTCCTTGATTTGTTTGAACATGATTTCTCGTGATCTTGATGTGAACCCAGGTAAATAAAAAATGAATGTAAACAGTGACCATGCATAAAGCCAGAGGAACAGCAGCCCTCCAAACTGTGCTGCAGGTAGCTGCTTCTGGAGCAGTTCAACTACTTTCTCCTTTTGATAGAAAACAAAGGTAGCAGAGCCTGCATGGTGTGCAGGCTGATTGTAAGGATGAATTACATGGACAGGTTTTAGGGTCAAAACCTACCTATGAAGTATTCAAGAACTGAAAGAAATCAGGGGATAGGCTGCTGCTAGTGTCAGTGTCAGAGAGGTCTATAGTAAGGAAGATGTTCAGATGACTCAATAGGCAGAAATTTCTGGAGGTGATGCTTGGATATTTTCATGACTCATGGCCGCAGAACTGATTTTCTCCTGTTTGCAGTAGTTTTATCACTCCCGTGTGCAAAGATCCCCATTTCTGGAGATGTCTGCATAGCTTTTGAGTTGCACTGATGTAATTCTTCATCTAAGAAGTCGTAAGAAAGTTTTGACTGTTTACCATTTGCTTCTTCTGGTTTATTGTACCAGCTTTCCAGTTAGGGATGGCAGGCAGTTTTATGTGACAAATGACACCCAAGGAATGCCGACCAGCCAACAAGTATGATTATGGAAGTTGACTGAACAGTGGTGTGATTCACAAAAGATGGACTAAGAATGGTTTAGTGGTCAGAGAAGGTGCTGGGGAAATGTGCAATTTACTTTTTGATGGATCGATTCTTTATTGAGGAACATCTGCCTTGTGTACGTGTTAAAACAGGCAACACACTTTGTCACTGGCTCTTCCTTGTAGCCAAATGTTGAAGCATTTCATTGTCAAACAAGAGTACGGTAGATTTCCTGGGAATCACATTGAATAAAGCTCAGGGCTTGTATTGTGGGCAAGGTCTGGGCTTTGAGGAGTGCGTTCAGTTCCCAGCCTTTCCACTTGGTTGCACAGCAAGGAAGTGAGCACTTAGCTTCTCACAAGCAAAGTGAAAGATTTAAACACTTTGCTGCTCTGGTTAGGTGAAAAAAAAAATATTCCAGGAATGGAGACAGTAATGTTCTCAAACAACATCCTTGCATTGCCCACAACGGAGGAACCAAGTTCAAGCTGAGTTATGTTACCACTGTGAGAGTGTTTTGTGGACATCTCAGTTTAAAACCTGCTTATTTTGTGCAGACTGAATTTATGACCCCGTTGGTCCTTCTTGTTTGCATTGTGTAAGATGAGTACTTTTTAACAGAGGAAAATTACAAGACTTGCTGCACGTGTTACAAGAAATGTGCTCTGGTATTTGAATTAACAAAAGGCAAACGTTTGTTTAAGAGCGTGCCCAGAGAGTCTTGTTTTAATCTTCTGTTTCTTTTTCTTCCAGGAAATGTGAGCAGGAATTGCACAAGTCAGGGCTGGACAGATGTGTACCCTGCACCGTATGCTGTTGCTTGCGGCTACGATTCCAACAGCACACCAGGGGAAGAGGTCTGTAAACCCAGATGGATGGGTGGATGTCATGATTTACCTGGCATAGATAGCAGAGCCACACCACCTTCTGATGCTCTACTTTTTCATTCCTACTTTAATTCCTTGAAAAGGAGGCATCTTCCTGGGAAGTGCCTCGCCAAAGAGCCAATCTTCCCTTTAAATTCCTGCATAGTGGCAGGATCTCAGCACCTGAGAAGATCAGAGCCATGTCTCTATTAGGGGGAAGTGATTTCAAACCAAAAAAGAGGAGATTTCCACTGGATATAAGGAAAATGTTGTTTATGAAAGGGTGGTGAGGCATAGGTTGTCCAGAAAGGCTGTGGTGCCCCATCTCTGGACACACTCGAGGTCAGGGAATGGGGCTCTGAGCACTGATGGAGATGTGGGTGTCCCTGTGCATTGCAGTGAGTGGAACCTGATGGCCTTGAAAGATCCCTTCCGACTGGAAGGATTCTATGATTCTATGATAGCTCTCTCATATTAAACAAGAAAAACTCATGCTAGAAAAAAAAATTCTCGTGCTCTTTTACTGCAATCATATATTGATGTTAAACCTATGCCTGTGATGGGGCTTTTTGTTCGGTTTGTTTTTCTGGTTTTGTTTTTGGTTGTTGTTGTGGTTGCTTTTTCTACTGTATGGCAGAAATCGGTGTGGTGAGTACTGCATGGTAATAATCTATGATGAGAGGCCTTTGTGTATAATGGGGGTCACCCGTTACAAAGGCACACAAATTGTTAACAGAAAATCTGAGCTGAACTTAACCAGCCTTAATAGTAATATGATACAGAGAATACCAAATGGAAGGTTACACACACAACAAAAAAGAAGAGGTGTACCAAAGAGAGAGCCTTCAAGGTCAGCCACCACTAGAAATCCCACGTATCCTGTTCCTAACATTGAGTTGAGTGGCACTGATTGCACATTTTAAGAGCCATCATTACAGAGGAAAGCATTACTGCTTGGGAAGGCCCTCCCGCAAGAGCTCTAGTTTATTTTCCATCTGCAAAGGGATTTGGGAATTCCTGGTTTGTGCTTTGGTGACCCAATGGATTGCAGCACTGCCAGAACTCTGTGCTACCACAAGAGCATATATTGTGTTCTTCTAATTCTTTCTTAATTATTTTCTCTTGATTTCCACGGTTTTGTCATGCTGGTTAAAGCTAATTTGTGTGAAAGGTGGCAGAGGGGGGTGAACATGCAGTACAAGTCTGTGAAGAAGAATGGATTGTTGTTGTTGAATTGGCTGTTGGTCTAGGGAGGAGGAAGTAAAAGGAATAGAAAAAGAAAAGAACAGCAGGCTGTATGGGACATGAGGTGCAGAACAGATTGATCATCATCCATGCCTAAAATGCTTCATGAGCTTAAAACCTATACCACTTATACCAGAAACTGCAAGAAACTATGAGAAACAAATAAAGAGAGCGTGTATTAAAATTTTATTTGTGAATTCTGGCAGCCCTTAGGAAGCAGACATAGGCACCAAAATACTGTGCTGATGATCTCTGCAGTGTTAATGCTTCCTTCTCCAGACTGACTCTGAAAAACCGTATATTAGGAAATGGAGGATTGTTTTCCTGTCCCATTATCTGATGTGATACACAGCTTCCCCATCATCTGGTCAGAGAGGAGCCACCCAGACATCCCTGTAGGCTCTATGTGAAGGCAATAAAAACGTACTAACCCCACATTTCTCGCCAAAGAGAGAGAATCTGCATTTATGAGGAAGAACTCAGATGACTTCAGCACATGTGATGCTATCCCAAATCAAGCCTACGTGCAGGGCTACAGGAAGACTTAATATCAGTGTTCTTTTGCACTTATGAAGGTGAATATTTCACATCCTAATTCAGTTTACCAAGAGTCAAACATAGAGGCTACTGTCCAGAAGGGAAGGAAGCTAATTCTCATGTAAGCTCAGTTTAGCATCCCTTCATGCTCCGCAGGTGGATGAGGCATGGATACAGGTGGCAGACTCCATCACTGTATCAGGTAGATCCAATGACCTAAAGCCCTTACTATGAATTATGACCCAAATTTCTTAGTGATGTAGATTCACTTAACAAGCCTATGAAGACACTCTGCTTTTATCCATCTCTGAGATCCATGGTCCAAGAAGCAAAGCAGACATGGCCAGTCTAACCCCAGCACTCTGAAATTTCTGTGTTAACACCCCTCCAAGCTGGCTTGTGTAAATGCTAGAGGATTACCTTGCATCACAGCTTCACTGGTCCTGAAAAGCACCTAGTGCTTGTCAAGGCTATGAAAATAACCTATAGAAATGTCAGCCCTCACTGTTAGTCAAGAGTGTTTTCCCAGATAAGGTTGGGCTTAGATTATCCATCAGTATGTTTTTTTGTGACTTTGTTTGTTTTATTTAACAGAAAGTGGTGGCAAGGAAGGTAGAAAAGGGTCAGTCAAGGGCTAGGAAAATTAGATTTTATTTGGGAAAACACTCTTTACTGAGTTAGATTCTTGTTAAAAAATATCAAATTAGTAAAAAAAGAAAAAGAAAACAAAACACTGATAAAACAAATGTTTGAAAACAAACTTTTCTTTTTCAGCTGAAAATTGAAATATATTCATTTAGAGTGTTGCTGGAAAGCCTTAGGAGAGCTGAAATCTTGCTGCTGTATCTCCTCGTTTTATTTATAACAGGATTCCCAGTTGGATTTAAATCCCATGGTGCTCCATGCTCAGAGAATCCCTCTGTGTGCAAACAAAGAGAAAAGCTATGGACCAACTTGCAAATGAAAATATACTTCCGAATGAACATATCTGTGCATTCAGTGAGAACATTTTAAGTTGGTTTGTTTTTTTCTTAGTAAAACACAATGTTTTGCTTCCACAAAAGCAAACCCAGACCAGTTCTGTCCCTAAAATTCCCTTCGTGTAAGGAAGCTCATCGTACTCAGAGCTGACATGTCAGTGCACTGTTTAAATGAATATTAGCTGTTCTTGTTTCACAAGGTTATAACCATGTAGCTGTCTCTGCAAGTGTCAAATTCAGACTCCATCCTCTGCAGTTTCCCCTTGTGTAGCTGTGAAATGGTCTTGGTGTGATCCAGGCACGTTCTTCTTATTCACACCAGCTGTATTTGAATCATGTTCTGCTCCGGGCAGCCTGGTCTGGTGGTTGGTGACCCTGCATACGGCAGGGGGGCTGAAACTAGATGAGCATTGTGGTTCTTTTCAATCCAGGCCATTCTGTGATTCTATGTTCTCTACCAGATATGATTTTACAGAGAATTTTTTAAGAGAATGGAGTGGGACTCAGTTCAGCAAGGAGGTCAGAACAAGCTCAGCAATGGTGTATTTAGGTGGATTTTGGCAGCTCTTTGAAAGTCTGTTTTTATTTCTTTCCTTCCCCTTAGCAAACGGCGTTCTATGGCACAGTCAAGACCGGCTACACCATTGGACATACCTTATCACTCATTGCTCTCACAGCTGCTATGATCATTTTATGTCTCTTCAGGTAAGAGCATGAGCTCCATCACGAGACCCAGGCCTTGATGGAGATGCAGTGCAGCAAATTAAATGGCGTTGGGTGGTTAAGTGTTGGCAACTGAATTCATCCTCAGTCCCTGTTGTTGATCCTGGATTCAGACATCTGTATTTGGGTTCCTCCATCAAACAAGTCTATGCACGAGGCAACCTCCTGTTAAAGTGTTGTTTAAATATATGGCAAAAACAGCAAAATAATGAATAACTGGTAATTTTTAAGTGAAAATATTACCTGCATTGCTACAGAGTGCCTGCAGTATGAGTTAATTTGGGCAGCAGCTGCTAAGAATTTATCTCTCCTCATGAAGAAACATTTTGCTTTGAGAAGAATTATTACGGTACAAGCATGCTGTAGAAAATTGACCTTTCTCATGAACACACTTTGCTGAATCAAAAAACTCACTTTTCCAATGGAAAGAGGTACAATGGACCTTTTTTCTATCATTCTGTTTTGACTTTTTTTCTCAGAATTGGAAAAGCAGCAGTGCTGCCACAGATATATGGAATGTCACGTCTTTTGTGGCTTTTAAAGGGCTTAAGTGGATTTGCTGTGTTTTACATCAAAACATTGTCTTGATGTTTAATTGTAACTCCCTATCTTAGCAGAAGAAACATGTAAATAGATAAATAACGTTTTAGAGAAGTCATGCTATTCAGAAATGTTGTCTCTTCCCAACAGAAAACTGCACTGTACTCGAAATTATATACATATGCACCTCTTCATGTCCTTTATAATGAGAGCCATCGCAGTCTTCATAAAAGATGTCATCCTGTTTGAAAGTGGAGAACCTGAACATTGCTTTGTGAGCTCAGTAAGTAGCTGTGTATATTGAATTTTCCACTTTGTTCTGTTGTGCTTCTAAAACAGTGCACCAAAAACTGCCTTGCAAATGGATAGGAAACGTTGTCTTGGGAAGACTTTGGTTTTTTGTTCTTATTTGAAGAGAAACAAAAGCCTGATTGATGAAGTTTAATTTAAAGGGCATGAAGTAAGTGAGCAGGGTTTCGGATTAATCTGTTGGATGTCCCAGTCAAAGAAGACTTTCAGTCTTCTGCTTAAGGATTTAATAAAGCCTTTCCCCTCAGTGATGGTAAGAGATCCAGACTCAGATAACTCCTCTGCAATATCTTCAGGGCAGTACCTACACATGATCTATGTTTGTTAAATGCAATCATAGTCAGCTGAGATCTAATAAATAGGTTTGCTGGAGCTGTGAGCTGTCTGCCTCACTTTGAAGAAGGCCCCTCTGTGAGCTGGAGGGCTCCTCTAATTGCACTGACCAGGTCCCTGCAGGAGTTTAGGCAGGAAATCTATATAGAGACGTAACTGTCTGTTTTTCATCTGGATCCCTGTTCCATGCTAACTGTGTAACAGTAAGATTTCCCCACTGGGATGATAAAGGAAGGGAATAAAGGAGTTGGTATGTTTTCCCTGCTTTTAAGCTCAGTGTAATCAGCTGGAGTTAACATTAAGGTGGGAGAAGAGCTCTTTATCTAAGAGCTGTTTTGATGCAAGAGAACACTAGTCATGAATTAATCTCCTAAGTAGGGAGGTGTGATTACAGCATCATAGAATGACTGGGGTTGAAAGGAATCTTTAAAGGTCATCGAGTTCCAGCCCCCAGGTTGATCAAAAGTCATCCAAAATTAAATTAAATTAAGTACTCCATAATAAATTCATCGTAATAGATGATCTGCTTGCTGGTAATAGCAGGTGACTGGGCACAGCAGTCCAGCAGGATCTCTTTTGGACTTATGTTTGCATCATAAAGCAACAGAAAAGACTGTCTTTGCTATCCACCCAGTTTCTTCCTTGCCTTTTGACCTCTCTGTATCAGTACTCCAAGTGCCATCTCTGCTGGTATAGTGGCCTTTCTGCATGAGCACTTCCCAATCCATATCAAAGCATGTCCCACTCCCAGAGTTTCCCTGAGATCCATCCACAGCACAGCACGTTCCCATTGCAGTGACCAATACCACTCTCCATTTTTATTTTCCCTCTGTGATTCACTGGAATCTGTATCCTCCAGCAGTGAGGCTTCATTGTGAAAGCCCTGAATGATTGCGGTGACATAGAAATTGGGATGAACAATTGGCCGGTGTCTGCTGCCACACATAACTGCCAGTGCTAATTGGCAGAGGAGCCAGGAGCCCAATGAGCCGTGGAGTTTGACGTAACCTCTCACCCCTGTGGCAGTTTGTAGCGGGTCGTGACCGAGGCATGGTTGCAGAAAATGGTGTGAGAAGTGTCTGCTGAAACACTTCTGTGCATAAACACTGGACGTTGTCCTGCGGAATCTGCAGTTCCTGGAAGTCAGGGTGCTTTCAGGCAGATTGTGGCTACCAACACTGTGTGTGTTTCCTCCCAAGCAGAGGATTTTTTGTGGTAAATGTCAGTTCAGGGTTAATGGCTGTGTCTTCCAGAAGGGCTACAAAAGCATGTGGGACAATCTGTCTCCACTACACAGGGCTGAACTTACCCCTTGCAGAATCTGCACACAACTTGACCCAACAATCTGTTAAACATTTTAGGTTGCAGGGAAAACATACCTACATGAAATGCAGTTGCAGTGCTTCTCCTACCATTCATTTGCTTGGAGACATAAAATCCATTGTGTTTATGTTGAGTTTGGCGGTGTTTGGTTGGCTTGAGCTAGGTGAAATAATTGTGTTGTTTGTGCTTTGAACTTGCAAGATAACGTTTTGCCTTGGGGGATATGGGTGCTAACTAGTTCATATACCTGGGGTCTGATAAAGGATCTATGGAAGGTTTCCTGTTTCTACTGATAATGCAAGATATTGGCCTTGAGCTCATTCAGTCTGAAGGGAGATTTGAACAAGCAGTTCACTTTGCTGAATGCTGTCACCACTGTACTGTTTTAGAAGAAGGGAGAACCAAAGCAATAACCATCTTTTATTGGAGAAGAAAGTGCTGCACTTAGTTCCTTTGAGGAAAAAAGGACAAAAGTGCCTACCTTCGTTGGCTTTGTGCGGTAGCATTTCAATTCTACTTCATTTTGTATAGTGTGGGAAGTTTCAGTTACAATGTGAATTCTGAAGCATTTTAAAGTCAAATACTTTGGGATTATACAATCATAGATTCAGAGAATCATGCAGGTAGTTTCCATGGAAATAAATAGGAGGCATTACTTTCTCTGTGACCTGCATGGCATCATTTGAGTTAGAAAAGACCTTCAAGATTGTTATATCCAACCATTACCATTGAGTACAGCACGGATGCCCCGAAAAATTAGGTTTGTCTGCGGGCCACAAAGTCTGAGAATGTGGCAGTAAGCATTTCAGGTAATCAGGACCAATGCAATCACTGAGCCATCACAACATGCAACCTGCACTGGATGCTGATTGTGGTGGTGGCTGGAAGATTGGACTGGAGGTCTTTTCCAGCCTTGATGATTCTATGATGTAATGATCCTACAGCTGATCCCATAACCAATGCAAAGTGGCCCTAGACCTTTGTGCTGCTACAAGGAAAGGCCCAAATCAATTAGGCCCACTCTTAGGCACAAAGGGGGTCCTTCCTCTCATGTGACAGCACATAGACTGACCTTTAGAAGACAGCCTTACTAAAGCACTGTGGTGTTTTCCAGGGGGAAACAAAGCACTACTGAGGACCCTGAGTATTTTAGAGGGAGAAACAGTAGAGAAATCTCATGGCCACATAGATATGCAGTTACTTGCCCAAGGAACCAGCAGTCAGTAGTTTCCCTGTCATCCCACTAAGTTAGAAGGTACGTCTGTGATTATGTGAACCTGAAACATCACGATGACTTAAATTTCTTACAGATTGACATATGCTCAAGTGTATTAGCGGATACAGGCTTTAAGCATCCAGATGTAGATACCATCAGGTTAGGAGATTCTGTGGTGTCACCCATCCTGACTCCTCCAATAACTGTTCCAGTTCTTTCAGAATGCTTTCTGTCTCAGTAGTCAATCATTTCTGATGGAAAAGCTTCACTGCATCCAGTGGTTACTCAGACTGTGTGAAAAATTGCCTCACTTTCCAGTCTGTATTTGCTTGCATTCTTCTGTGTTCTTTTTCTCACTTCCAGACTAAAAAGGCCTCCTAACAAACTCTAGCTTTTCACATTAACTTTCTTTAGACCTGCTGATGTTCCATTTTAGCATCTGTCTTTCTCTTTACTTCTCTCTGGAAAATGCCATATGAAGCTCAGAAGCCAAAGTTGCAAACATGGCAGAAGGATTGACTTGAATACTTTGCTTGTCTGTCCATTTGATCTATGCCTGTGCTTTTATAGCTAAGATTTGGTTTAGTTTCATGATTGTATGAAATGTATGGATTGTAAAACTTGTGTTTGCAGTTTAGCTAAAGACAAAGAAGCCAAACATATAGTTTGATATAAACAAAGATCCAGTTCTGCAGATTGAATTCAGACTGACTTTTCTTGAGCTCTGCAAATTTGCCTTTGCTGAGGATTTAGCCAAAGGAGCAGTCATTTCTCTTTGTCCTTCTGCATACCAGTAAGACAATCAAATCCAAAGAGAAACCATTTGCAAAGGAGGGCAGGACTCTTATCAATAGTGAGCGTTTGCACATGTCTAATACTTTCAGAGTGGAAAATTCATTTTTCAACACGAGTTCCCTCAGGCCAAACTGATGAAAGGATGTCTACTCCCTCTCTCCATCATCGTGGACTGGCATTCGATGAACTTTGGCTGACTGGCTTGGATGGAGAACCTGGCACAATCCTGTCTGTACACAATGAGAATTTTCCCCTTGACTTTAATTGGAGTTGGGTCAGGCCCCAAAATGTGTGAAAGAATCGACTAGCACTGTTCCAGAAGCTCAGCCCATTCCTGCACAACTCTAAAGCATCTATTGATTTCTCAGACCAGCCAGGCACAAGGATGCTGTTTGAGATAAGGAAAGGCCTTAAAGTCTGTCCTGCTGTACAAATAAGGCCAAATGTGAAGCCCACTTTTTTGCTCTATTTTGCTGAACTATTTAGGGTGAAGGAAACTCTCTTGCTTCCCACCTAATAGGTAGCAGTTACAGTTGGGTTTCACTCCAAGGATCAGCACAGGGAGCAAAGGAACAACCACTGCTCACGTGGATTGTTTCTCTCTATGCTCTTCCACTCGTGTCTGACCTGAACCACCTTAATGGCTTCAGTGGATGGGCACTGAAATGGAATGTCTTCATTTCTTCTTTCTGAGCTTTTTGACAGCATTTGGTTTCTTCTTAAGGTTCTGCTGATGCTGCTGCCACAACACAAATCCAACATTCCAATTTCCTTGGTCTACATTTTTACCATTAGGTAAGAGGAAGAGATTTCCATCTACCTGGTAATGAAACAGTATCCTTAAAACTATCTTGTATCTCCATATCTGCTGCATAACTGCTGATCACAGGGGAAGAAAAATAACCAGAGAATGCTCCTGTAAATGATATGAAGAATTTAAAAACAAACAAACAAAAACAACCAGAAAGCAGAGAGAAGGAATGGGGTCATTGTGTGTTTGCCAATTCTCCTTCAGATCTCACACCAGCATTTTAAGGTTCACTTCACCAAAGGTATTGAGGCAATCCTAAAAAGGACCAGAAAATGGAAAGGAGGTTGAAGGAGAAGAAGAAACAAAGAGGTTAAAGAGACAGAGGAGAAGAAGAAAGAGGTTAAAGCTACACTCTTTAATTAGCCAGGACCTAATAGTAAACATAGTAGCCAAAAGTAGAATCGTAGACTGGTTTGGGTTGGAAGGGACCGTTAAGATCACTTGGTTCCAACCCCCTCTGCTATAAGCAGAGACACCTCCCACCAGACCAGGTTGT